TTAAGATGTCGAGCTTGGTAATTAAAAAGACACTCCTTTCTTGGCTACCCAGGGAGGAGTTTTGGTGGTTTATTTTGTTATCATTTCTGTTTGTCCGGGTTATTTCAGGGTTGTGATCCGGACATTGTATTGTGGATCAAACTCTTCTTCTTCTTTTGCCTAGTTCGCTTTATTGTAGTAACTCGTCTAGTGTTATTTAGGATTGTTCCAAGGTTGTAACCCATGTCTATTTTGCTTATCTTGTTCAAACCCTTTTCACCATCTGTCTAATGCAATCTCCTATTTCTGTTAATTCTAGTCAGTTTTGTTTAGGTTACTTTTCCTCTTATAGTTCTTTTCATGCCGACCCTAGTGACGTAACATGCACACATAATTCTCATCCTGATCTTGAAAGTTAGTCTAATCATGAAGCAATGACACAATTTTGAATATGATAAAAGGATGCGTTTGAGGAAACAATTAAGGATTCACACATTTTAAGATGACCTGAACTTTGAATTGAGTGAGACTGAGGCAGCAAGTCTGGGAAATTAAGAGGTTGATAAGAGCATACAATAAGGAAATGTCTCTCAAACAGTTTGAGGTAAATCAGTTAGTGCTGAAATGCATTCTTCCACATCAAGATAAGGTTGAGCCAAGTCTGCTTCGAACTGGCAAGGGTCATTCATTGGGACAAAGGTATTGCCCATTGACACTTTTTGTTTGTGTTGATGCCATCGATAGATACTATGTGTGATTTGTTTGTTTATCTTCAATTGCATGTTATACTTGGAATTTTTAAGTTTGGTATGACAAAGGCATTTTATTCTGCTACCCAAATACTTTTATCCTTTGCTACCCATTTTGAGGCCTAATGTTTTGTTTCATACCCCTCTCTTGGAATCAGAAATAGAGTTAGGAAGTAGAAAAAGAAAAGAAAAAGACAAAAAGAAGAAAAAAAAGGAAAAAAGAAAAAGAAAAAAAAAGAAAAAAAAAGAGAAAAGAAAAAAAAAACAACTTTGTCTTTTGAACTACGTTTGACCTGATTCTTATCATCACAAGATACGTAGGCAGCCTTACGGTTCGGTCACACAAAATAAAATATGTCATAATTCCCCAAAGTCAAGAGTGGGACATATTTTCTTAGAAGTCCCCTCAAAATAAAAATCCAAAAAAAGAAAGAAAGAAAATCCCCAAACTCCAGAAACTGGGGCAGATGTTTTAATTTTGCCAAAAGATATGATTCCAAAAGTTGTAATTTTGAACCCTTTCATCTTAAATTATTTTGAGCCTTCATGCCACCTTTTCTTTCCTATCCTGTCCAAAAGCCTACATTACGGTCCAAAGAAAGACTTTCCAACCAATATTTGAGGATGCCAAATCAAGTGTGTGGCAAAAGTATGATCTTCCTGCATAATGGGTAATACCTTGTTCTCATTGCAAAAGAGAGAAAATGATAAATGAGAGAGTCTTATCGGTGAAAACCCTCATGGGCATCGTAAGGCGACGTGAGTTGAGAAAAAGAGCAAAATGAGAGAGGTTTGATGGTGAAAGCCCTTCAGGGCACTACAAGTCGACTGAGGATTGTGGATCACATGGGACAATTGAAGCGCTGAAGCCCAGTTTCACGGCTCAGAGGTACAACAAGAGTTGAACATTAGACTTGCTCGAGAGATTAGGCCACTTAATCCAAAGGTGCATGTCATGGTCATTAGAGTTGGTATCCACAGTTGATAAGTTTCTACTTCGTCATTTTCTTGTTAGGTATCATCTCTTTCCCTTGTCCCTTATTTTGTTCCTCTCGTTTTGTTTGAGTCCCTTCTTGAGCCTGTTTGATCAGAACAAGTGAGAAATGACTTCAAAATTTACTACCAGCTTTCCAATCGCACAAAACAAATTTGTCTAGCACATCAAAGTGGCATAAGTCAGGGAAAAGTGGTATGTGCATTGAGTTGGTAATAATCAACATGCTTTGGGATTCATGTGAAATGCAAGGGTTTGGTAAATGTCAATTCATGAACAAAATGCAACAGATAGAGGATATTGGGATCGAATGGAGCAGAGGTGTTTTCTGTGATAAGGGTTGAAAGAAAATGGGCAGTCGATAACAGTCGAGGTCGTCCAGGTTGAAATCAAAATTATCTTGGCAGTGGCAAAGGCAGACACTCAGCAATGATGCCACAAACTAACCACCACGTTTTCAAACTAACAAAATTTTATTCGTCTAAAACAGGGGCAAGAAAATTTGTTAATCCACACGGACCCTCCCATGAAGAAGGCATGGCTCAAAGGCAAGAAATTCGGTTCAGAATCCTCCAAGAAGAGAGCATGGCTCAAGTAAGTTCATTCTCGTATTTTCAAGACATTCCTGGATAATGAGATTTAGTTTTAAATTTTCAGGACCCTCCTGGATAATGAGATTTAGTTTTAAATTTTCAGGACCCTCCTGGATAATGGGATTTAGTTTTAAGTTTTCAGGACCCTCCTGGATAATGAGATTTAATTTTAAGTTTTCAAGACCCTCATGGATAATGGGATCTAGTTAAATTTCAAGATCTTTATAGATAACAAGATTTAGCGTAAGTTTTACCATTAGGAAATATAATTTAGATTTAAAGTTGTCACTCTTAAGATGAGATTTAATTGAAAATTTTCAGGGCCTTCCTGGATAATAGGATTTAGCTTTTAAATTCTTAGAGCTCTTTAGGTAACATGATTCGATTAACACTCATAGATGTGCCCAGATTCCATACTGAGGCAGAAAATTTCTTTTGTTTTGTCTGTTTTGTTGTGATGGCAGGCGCCCACCTGGACAACGAGGGAATAAATTTCAAATTTTGGTAATCAGGCTCCCACCTGGATAAAGAGAGAATACAATTCAAGTTTTTGGTAATCAGGCACCCACCTGGATAACGAGGGATACAATTCATGTTTTGGAAATCAGGCAACCACCTGGATAACGAGGGAATACAATTCAAGTTTTGGAAATCAGGCGCTCACCTGGATAACGAGGGAATAAAATTCAAGTTTTGGTAATCAGGCGCCCACCTGGATAACGAGGGAATACAATTCAAGTTTTTGGTAATCAGGCGCCCACCTGGATAACGAGGGAATACTATTCAAGTTTTGGAAATCAGGCGCCCACCTGGATAACGAGGGAATACAATTCAAGTTTTGGGTAATCAGGCGCCTACCTGGATAACGAGGGAATACAATTCAAGTTTTGGTAATCAGGCACCCATCTGGATAACGAGGGAATACAAATCAAGTTTTGGTAATTAGGCGTCCACCTAGATAACGAGGGAATACGATTCAAGTTTTGGTAGTCAGGCACCCACCTGGATAACGAGAGAATACGATTCAAGTTTTGGTAATCAGGCGTCCACCTAGATAACGAGGGAATACAATTTAAGTTGTTGGTAATCAGGCACCCACCTGGATAACGAAGGAATACAATTCAAGTTTTGGTAATCAGACACCCACCTAGATAACGAGAGAATACAATTCAAGTTTTGGTAATCAGGTACCCACCTGGATAACGAGGGAATACAATTCCATTTTTGGTAATCAGGCACCCACCTGGATAATGAGGGAATACAATTCAAGTTTTTGGTAATCAGGCGCCCACCTGGATAACGAGAGAATACAATTCAAGTTTTAGTAATCAGGCACCCACCTGGATAACGAGGGAATACAATTCAAGTTGTTGGTAATCAGGCGCCCACCTGGATAACGAGAGAATACAATTCAAGTTTTTGTAATCAGGCACCCACCTGAATAACGAGGGAATACAATTTATGTTTTGGTAATCAGGTGTCCACCTGGATAACGAGGGAATACAATTTATGTTTTGGTAATCAGGTGTCCACCTGGATAACGAGGGAATACGATTCAAGTTTTTGATAATTAGGTGCCCACCTGGATAACAAGGGAATACGATTCAAGTTTTGATAATCAGACGCCCACCTGGATAACGAGGGAATACGATTCAAGTTTTGATAATCAGACGCCCACCTGGATAACGAGGGAATACTGTTCAAGTTTTTGGCAATCAAGCACCCACCTGGAGAACGAGGGAATTCATTTCAAGTTAAGTCATCGGCAGGTGCCCACCTAGAGAATGAGGGAATTCATTTCAGAGTTACTTTCAATTCGCAAATTCAAGAAGCATCAGGAGCCCGCCTGAAGAACATGGTCCATTTTTCAGTCTCATGTTGAAGATCAAGTAGAGATTCAAGACAAGAAGTAGATAGGATCTTGTATTTTTCTTTTACTTTGATGTAATTTTTCCTTTTATTTTTGATGTGACGGCAGGAACCGCGGACTGGAACCTCGACGACACTTCACTCGACTCTCCACATTGGTGCTCCATCGTCCTTCTCACTTATGAACTACACGTGACCTGATTCCTTTGTAGCCAAGGATATGTAGCCAGCTCAGATACCAGAGCTCGATCACATTTTCTTCCTTTCTCTTAGTTTTTGGTCTTTCTAAATGAGGGTCGGGTCAAAAAAAACCTGTCTAGTAGTTCTTTGTCTGAAAATACTTCTTATTTCCAGTCAAAGGGGGGCAGCTGTAGACATGTGATTTTTGACCCTCCCCAAGATTTTACATATTTTAGCACTTAAATACTTAGTTTAGGCCTAATATAGTTATTTCAACTAATTTTGACTCTTTTACATTATTTTTTATCACATAAATAAAAATTACAAAAAATAGTTTCATTAAGGTTTTGTAGTTATTTTTAATCTTGAAAAAATACCAAAAAATAGGTTTGTTTTAAACGGTTAGTATTATTTTAATAGTTATTTTTCTTAAGTAAGATTAAGTCGTATTTTTAATAGTTATCTTGTTTGCTATATTATTTTTATATACAAAAAGGAGGAGAGAATATAATTAGTTTTTGGACCAATTTAGTCTTGCTTGTAGCCCAATTAAACCAATCCGTTAGCCTATTAACTCAAAAGCCCAAACCTAGACACCCATTTAAGATAATATACAAGAAAAAATAAAAAAAAAAACCTAGACCTAGACATTTTTGAGGGTCCGGGGGCTGAACTCCAAAAAACGACCTCCCGTGTCCTTCATCTTCTTCAGGGACAACAACCTTAACCTACTACACTAAAAACAACCCTAGAACCCCTAGACCACAAGAGGAGCACGCCCAACACCAGTAGGGAACCTCGCCGCCGCCCAGCCAGCCGCCGCCGTTGTCCAACGACCACCCTTCCACCTCCAATCGCCTCTTACTCACGACTACCACAAAGAACCGCCGTCGTCCCCACCACCCTAGCGCCATTTCTCATTCAGAAGAACCACCGCCGGCTAGATCTCCTTTCTCCACCACTCTACAGCCGCACACCCTACCAAAAGCTGACACCCTTGACACATACACATAAAAAAGGAAACGGAAAAGGATGAACATTATTCAAAGGAGAAGCTGAAATTAGAAATATCAGTTTTCAAGCTTCGACTCTGACATTGCTCACTAGCTGCATTCAAGTCGTCACGCTCCAAATTTTCAAGGCTAATAATGTTGTTAGTTTTGGTATCAAAGTGATAAAGAAATAGGCTAAAGAAGCTCAGTTTACTTCCAATTAAATTCCCAAGGACAAAAACGAAAGGGACAAAGCAACTAGCCAAACTCTTTCTTCTATTGCTATTGCAATCCGTCAAATTTTGTTTATAAAAATGGAGGTCAACCAAGATTGCATTTGATTCGAGGTTTCCGGTGTCAATTCCCATCCGCGGTCCCGATGTAAATTTGAAGTACATTATCGGATTGCACAATATTGTTGCTTGAAGGGGATCTTTTATCAATTCAATTTTGATCACCGTTTGGGTTCCACTTGAGGTCAACTCTTTACTTTACTCTTTAATCTCTCGTGTGTGCTATTTATAATTGCTTGAGTTTCATGATTTAATTGCTAATTTGTGACTGAATTTTCATATTTTGTTTCAAGTCTGTTTGAGTTGAATTTTTACATAAATATTGTTGAATTCTTATAGCATTTGATAGAAGGGTTCGGGCTTAAACACAAATGACAATTTGAATTGGAAATATTTTCTTATTTTTATTTATCGCTTATCGCTAGGAGCATGCTTAGACCGACCACACTTGGGCAGAAAAACTTTAGGATTTTCGTTCGTTTGAGGTGAAAGGTCGTTCCCGTAGTTAAATTTATTCGGGGAATGCCCCAAAGTATTTGTATATATTTTAAACAGGGGAATGTTCCGAAGTAAATGTAAATGGAGGCCGTGGCAACATCAATGGAGGTGTAGTATAGGCTAGCAAGACTTATTTCATTTTGTTTTATTTTTATTTTATTAAGTGGGGATGACCTCGAGCCTTATGTGTGTTTACTTTGCTTTTTTGTGATTTTACCTCAATTTGAATATTTGAAAAGCCAACTAGATCGAGTACGCAATCGTGATTTTTACGGGACTTGGGGAGTGCCTAACACCTTCTCCCTGAGTCAAATGAACCCCCTTATCCGAATCTTTGGTGTCGACTTAGTTTTAGAGTCTAGAGTGTTTTGAAAGGAAAAGAATTATTTTTAGAAAAAACGGTGACCTGACACACCGAAATCAAATGTCAGGTGGCGACTCTGAGTTAATCCTTTTGAACACACAACTTTGTCACTTTTCGAATTGAAAACCCTTTTCAAGTTTTACTAAATCTTTTTATTATTTTTAGAGGGTTTAGTGAGAGTTTTGGTTAAAAAAGGGGTGTGACAAGAAAAAACCAGAATTTACTCACCATGGCAACATGCAGTTATTGTCAAGGTATATGGTCGAAAAATTAGCCATCAAATACTTAGGCAAAATTTTTATTCCTTATGGCAGCCAACGGAAAATCTACCACTTATTGACCTAGGTTCAGATTTCTTCCTCATCAAATTTCAAAAAGAGGAAAATATGATTCATGCTTTGCATGATGGACCTTGGTTTATTTTAAATCACTTCCTCTCCGTTCACCAATGGGAACCCAAGTTTATGGCATCAGAAACAAAAATCAAATACTCTGCCATTTGGTTGCGACTACCAAAATTACCTACGGAATTTTATGACTTTCAAATTCTTCAGAAATTGAGTAATAAAATTGGAAAATTACTTACTGTTGATACTTGCACTTCCTCCACTACAAGATGAAGATATGCAAGGTTATCTGTTGAGGTTCCATTAGATCAACCATTAAGAACTCATATTTTTATTGGTAATCATAAGCAACATATCCTTTATGAAGGATTAAACTTGCTATGTATTAAGTGTGGTAGATTGTGCCATAATTAACGTAATTGTACCTCCCCAGCACTAAACACAAATACTTTAGAGTCATATTCTTTGAACCCTTTGACCACTACAAACCCTATACCTTCTACCCTTGCCTCTCCATTGGTTGAAGAATGGAAAACAGTACAATTTCCTAAGAAATCCATCATAAGGACGACTCACCCCAAAGCAAATCCACCACAATCACTGCCTGGTTCTATGTTAAGCCCTACTCGACCATCCGGTAAGTATGCTAATAACATAAACTCATTTAATACTCCTAATACTCTACCCTTCACTAATCTTTCTCTTGATAATAATAAAACTTCTCTTAACCGTTGAAATACAAAAACCATATCCCCACCATCTAAATTTTCTATTAATAATAAATTTGACTTACTTAGCTCAACTGACCCCACTAATGATCATTCCCTCCCTAATCCTACTAACAAAGACCAATTACATCCTAGCATTACTACTCAAATGCTTCTAGAAAACCCTACCCACTCGGCCCACTTACAACCACCCCAAACTCCAACACCTATCACAGCCCATGCAAAGAGCCACGATATCCTACCCCACATGCAAGCCCAATCAAATCCTTCTAGTCCCTCCACCTCAGCAAACACCTACGACCCATCCCAAAACTCATGCATGCATTCACCACTGTCTCTGCATACCAACACACCCTCCCCAATTATCAACTCTACTATAGCTTCCATGCAACTAGATAATGATGAACACCTTACTTCTACCATCTCAAACGCTCAATCTCAATCTCAAACACAAAATCCAAATCCTTCAATAATACCGCCTTCCTCCACCACTAGGATAGCTTCCACTATTGTTCAACCTTCATATCCACTATCTACCATTTCCAATCTATTATCATCTCCTCTGCCTTTAAACAATATTTACAAACAATCTCAACCATTTACGCAGAACACCCGGCAATATTTTCAGGCAAACAGTTTATCGTCTCCAACACCAACGCATTCCTCGCTCACTTCCTCCCTCCCATCTCATAATGGAGCCGAATACCTTCATTTACACTTCTCAAACTCCATTTGCATCGACCAATCCGTCATCTTGGCTCGAGACAGGTCTTCAGAACCATGCACTGACCTTCACCATAGAGGTCCACAACCAAGAAGTGACGATTCTAATAAACAATCCGAGGGACCTTGTGCAAATAGTAGCGGGGGGCATGCAACTAGGGACGTATATTTATGGGAGATATCACTGGTCCATGATTCAAGCCCCTTACCTTGCATCATATCAGCCTCTAAAGCTTCCGTCTCCCTACTAGGATCCTGCTCATCTTCACCCCCATCTCCTTTAAATGCTATTTTGCCCCAACCCAACTCCCACAACACCTTGGATTCAACCCTATTGGGTTCCACAACCACACACACCCTTAATATGGAATCAGTAACACCTCCAACTCCCTCACCCCCACAGTCACCACCACCCCCTCCCAATCCACTCGCACAAGACATGGAATTTCAGGCAGAACTAGAAGCAACAGTCATCTACAACAGGGAAACAAGACCAATTCATGTAGGTTAGATGGAATTAAGGTGTTTGTCCAGAAGGAGGAGTACGAAAGAAAGATTTACATAATGTGTCCTCCCAACTTAATGAGAGTCTCATTTCGCCTAAGGCCAACCACAAATCTAGACGTGGGCAAGTATGCCATACTACTCTTACCAACTTTACGTCTGCGTCCAAGTCAAAGCAATAGTACCAGGATGCATGCAAGGAATGACCAGCTGTTTGATCAACCTGTTAGACATATGAATTTTATTATATGGAACTATAGATGAGCTATTTCATCTGAGTTTCGCCGTAATTTTAGATCATTACTAGATTATAACCGCCCGTCTTTGGTGGTTTTGCTGGAAACCCACTGTCAAACACATCAGACTTTGAAGGAGGATTTTAATTTCACTGGCATGATCGAAGTGGCAGCAATAGGTCAGTCCGGTGGTATTGTATTATTATGGCTTACTGACGCCCTTACCATTGAACTTGTGGCAACGACTGCACAAGAAATTCACTGTCACATTCAGGTACACCCCTCTTCATTTAAGTGGTTGTTTACTTCTGTTTATGCAAGCACTGATTTGGTAAATAGGCAGACTTTATGGAAAAACCTTAGGTGTGTATTTGATAATTATAAAGGACCATGGCTTATAGGTGGAGATTTTAATGAAATAATTACTTCCACTGATAAATTTGGAGGCCTACCTATTAATAATTCACGAGCTAATAAATTTTTGGAAGTCACCTAAATAATTTAGGATACAAAGGCTGTCGTTACACTTGGACAAATGGTAGACATAGTAAGTACAACATTCTTGAACGCATTGACCGTATTAATGTAAATTATGAGTGGCTTTCAAACTATCCTAAAGCTTTAGTTACACATCTTCCACGTACACATTCCGATCATTGTCCCCTGTTATTAGAATTAAAATACTGTGTATTACCTCAAATGTTTTTTTTTAGATTTGAGATGATATGGACTACACATCCTCAATTTCCTAGTATAGTCAAATAAGCATGGATGAATAATTTAATGTTACTTCCAGCCATAGCAAATTTCACTGACATGGTCCAAGAATGGAATTCTTTCACTTTTGGTAATATCTTTAAACGAAAAAAGAAGATTTTCGCTAGATTAAATGGTATTCAATCTTCTTTTAACTATCCTGCTAGCCAGTTCTTACATAATTTAAAGCATCAACTAAAACTGGTTTTTAACCACATACTAAAGCTTGAGGAGGACTTTTGGAAGTTAAAGTCCCGTATTAATTGGTTAAATGATGGCGATGCAAATACAAAATTTTTTCCATCTTACAACGTTATATCGTTGAAGACATAATCGTTTAACAGCTCTACAAGATCAAGGGAGAAATTAGATCACTGATCCACATCTCATTAGGAATAATATTACACATTATTATCAAACTCTGTTCAACACCCAACAAATTTCTTCTAAAAAACATACCACAATGCAACACTCTAATGTTTTAACTCCTCAGGATTGTTTATCATTATCCAAACCGTTACAAGATCATGAAATTCTAACTGCAATCCATTCCTTCAAACCATTAAAAGCACCTGGACCAGATGATCTTCACCCACTTTTTTATCAAAAATATTGGGACACTATATGCAGCTCTGTCAAGTTTGTTTGTCATAAAATTTTCCTAGATCATCAAATAAATCCTGCCATTAACACTACTTACATATGTCTAATTCCTAAACATAAGCATGCTGCTACAATATCTCAATATCGAGCTATTAGTCTTTGTAATACTATTTACAGAATTATAACCAAGATAATCGTAAATAGACTAAAACCAATCCTGGAACACATTATTCATCCAACTTAATCTAGTTTCCAGAAAAATAAAAGAGCAACTGATAATGCTCTTATTGTTCAGGAAATCATTACAAAATTCCAAAGATTGAAGGGGAATAATTTAAATATGCTTCTTAAATTGAACCTTGAAAAGGCTTTTGACAAAATAGAATGGTCTTTCATTCATAACTCTTTAATAACTTTAAATTTTCCTCCAAATTTTATTAAATTGATTATGTCTTGCATAACAACAACATCCACTTCAATTTTAATTAATGGAAACCCTACTGAATATTTCACACCAACCAGAGGCATATGACAGGGGGATCCACTATCACCATATCTTTTTATCATTTGTCTAGAAATGTTTTCACGAAAAATAAATATGGAAGTGGATTACAATAATTGGTTACCATTAGCCTTGGCTAACAGAGGTCCTCAACTATCTTATTTATTTTTTGCTGACGATATTATTCTTACAGCCAAAGTAATACCTACTACGTGCCAATGAATTCTTCATACTTTGGCTCAATTCACTAAATTATCTAGACAAATAATTAACTGTGACAAGTCACAAATTGTTTTCTCACAAAACTGCACAACTCCTACTAGAACCTTTGTACCCCAATTTTTTCACATAAATGAGGAGAAAAGTTTTGGTAAATACCTAGGATTCCCTATTTTCATAAAGCAACCAACCAAAAGGGATTACCAATTCTTAATTGACAATTTTAAAACTAAGTTGGCAGGTTGGAAAATTAATTTTTATCTAAAACAGGAAGGACTACCTTAATTTGCTCTACTTTAAATAACCTTCCATCATCTTATGCAATACATTAAATTCCTACTTATATACTATCCCACCTCAATCGCTACCAGAGAAATATTCTCTGGGGAACTTCGACTCAGAAGAAAAAATTACACCTCATTAAATGGAGCACAATTACTCAACCTTTGGCCCAAGAGGGTTTAGGAATACAAAACCTAGCTATTAAGAACAAAGCCCTACATGCAAGTCTTGCATGGAGACCATTTCAAAATCCACACCAACTATGGGCACATGTGCTCCTACACAAGTATCTACGACCATCAAACTTAATTATAACCATTGTCTCCTCTACTTGGCGCAATATCATAAATGGATGGTCTTATCGTCAACTAGGATATAAATGGAATATTACGAACAAACAAAATATTAAATTCTAGTCGGATCCTTGGATCCAGCCTAATTTACTACTTCGTAACTAGCTAACGGGACCTCTCCCTTCTCTTGAGGAAAAACAACTAGTCTCTAATTACTACTACAATCATAGGTGGTACCTTGACAAATTACCTTTTGTTATAGCAAATCAATTACAATCTAATATCCTAAATATTACTTGCCTTTTTCACCTATAGCACATGACCAAATATACTGAGCAAATACACAAAATGGTCAATTTTCGGTTAAATCTATTTATAACTCTCTTATGAAACCCATGACCTCACAATATTCTTATAAGTGGATTTGGAAATTTTCCATTCCTCCAAAAATATCTTTCTTCCTCTAGTTAATTTGCCATAATAGATTACCCACTGTGGTGTATCTTACAAATTTAGGAATCCTAAATTCATCTCTATGCCCACAATGTCATCTGGCCCCTGAAAATATCATTCATCTCTTTTTTGAATGCTCACATATAACTCAATTATGGAATGACCTTCATCACTCTTTTCCTCATCCTAATTTCACTACATCCCCAACACTTAATATCAATTGGTTACACCAATTTATACACACACCAATGCCATCTACTCCCCATAAAATGCCTTATACAACTTTTATTCCATTTTCACTATGGCACATTTGGATTATAAGAAATAAGAACACTTTTAAACATCAACGACTTCCTTTGAATCTTCCTTTCATAACAAATATGGCAGTTGGATACTACTTCCTAACCACCCCAAAGTCAACATATAAGTGTGTAACTCCTCTTTACATAAAATAGCATCCTCCCACAGGTTTTACTTATAAATTAAACATTGATGGCTCGTGCTCATATATACAACAAAGGTATGGTATTGCAGGCATTTTTCGCAACCATCAAGGCAATTGGATTTTAGGCTTCTCAGGCAAAGCAAACCCAGGTATAAGTGTTCAGGCAGAACTTCTTGCACTCCTTATGGGGTTAAAACTGGCAGTACAACAGCACCTCCAACCTCTCATTATTGAAACAGATGCACATGCAATCCTAGGTATGTTTCACTCAACTACTATGCACTACACTAACATCCTTAACGATTGCAGGTTACTCCTCCTATAGCTGGATAACCCTCCTATATTATCCATCTACAGAGAGCAGGATGGTGTTGCAGATACTTTAGCTAAATATGGATCCATCCATGCACAAGAGCAGTGCATACTTTTTTGACACACCACCATCTTTTGCAGAGTCTCCATATCATAACGACTGTAGCGGTATATTACAAAGGAGACTTGTTCCAGTAACTTTCAGTACTTCACAACTGCACTCTGCTACTAATAGTTTGTGTAATAGTCGTATAAACACTAATGATATTAGTGTAGTATCTACTTTTAATTTCCAGTCTACTAATGTTTTCCCTAGAGGAAGCTTGTCTGTAAACCCTAATTTAGCAACTATGATGCCTCTTATGCATCTACTACATTCTCATGTAACTGTTTTGTTTATATATAATATAAGTACATCTTTTTGACCAAAAAAAATTAATAATGTATAGTAATAATACGATACATAAGAAGAGATATTTTAAGTCTTTTACATACTGGCATAGCCTCTACGGATTAGGCAATGATTTAATAATATAAAGTAAATTTTATTAGACCTTACATAGTGGTCTCTTTTTCACCTCTTCTTCCTTTTGCAGTACACTCCTGGGGTGTGTGTGGTATAACGGAAAATGTTTTCTGTGAAAAATATTTTTCAATAAAATATTTTCTTGAAAAATAAGTAATAATCTTATTCATTTTCCGGTGTTTGGTACGCAAATTAAGAAAAATGACTCTTAAGAGTATTTATAAATAATTTAGATATAATAAACATGAAGCCATAAACTTTCAAACCAACAAGCTTCCGAACTCATATTTTTCATAAACTTTCAAACCGCTAAACTTTCGAAACCACGGAATTTCTAACCCGTAAACTTTATAATTTTTAAACATATAAACTTCAAAACACATAAATCTCCGAACTCATAACTTTGGGACTTGTAAAATTTTGAACCTTTAAACAGATAAATAAAAAACTAAAACTGAAAAATATATTTTAAAAAAAATTCAGGGGTGGGAGGG